GCAACAAAAATTAAAATATTTGGGAATCAACATAATGAAAGAGACAAAAGACTTCTACAATGAATATTACAGAATGCTAAAGAAAGAAATTGAAGAAGACCTTAGAAGATGGAAAGATCTCTCTTGTTCTTGGATAGGCAGAATTAATATTGTCAAAATGACCATACTATCAAAAGCACTATATAGATTTAATAAATCTCCAATCAAAAGCCCAATGACATTCCTCATAGAAATAGAAAAAGCAGTCATGAAATCCATCCAGAAAAATAAGAGGCCCAGAATAGCTAAAGCAATTCTTACCAAGAAGAGTGAAGCAAGTGGCATCACTATACCAGAACTTAAACTATGCTATAGAACAATAGTAACAAAATGGCATGGTATTGGCACCAAAATAAACTTGTAGATGAATGGTACAGAACGGAGGAAATAGAGACAAACCCAGATAATTACCTTTATCTTATATAAGACAAAGGCACCAAAAACATATATTGGAGAAAAGATAACCTCTTCAACAAAGGATGCTGGGAAAACTGGAAATCCATATGCAACAAAATGGAATTAAACCCCTATCTTTCACCATGAATTAAACTCAACTCAAAGTGGATCAAAGACCTAGGAATTAAACCTGAGACCCTTTGCCTAACAGAAGAAAAAGTAGGCCTAAATCTCTATCATATTAGACTAGGCCCCAAGTTCCTTAATAAGACTCCTGTAACACAGGAATTAAAATCAAGAATGAATAAATGGGATAGATTCAAACTAAAAAGCTTCTTCTCGGCAAAAGAAACAATCAGTGAGGTGAACAGAGAGCCTACAGAATGGGAGCCAATCTTTACCACAAGCACATCAGACACAGCACTAATCTCCAGAATACATAAAGAACTCAAAAATCTTAACACCAAAAAGACAAATAACCCAATCAATAAATGGGCCAAGGAACTGAATAGATACTTCTCAGAAGATGATATACAATCAATCAACAAATATATGAAAAAATATTCAACATATTTAGCAATTAAAGAAACACAAATCAAAACTACTCTAAGATTTCATCTCACTCCAGTCAGAATGGCAGCTATTAAGAATACAAACAACAATAATTGTTGGCGAGGATGTGGCACACTCATACACTGCTGGTGATACTGCAAATTGGTGCAGCCAATATGGAAAGTGGTATGGAGATTCCTTGGAAAACTGAGAATGGAACCATCATTTTGACCTAGCTATCTCACTCCTTAGTCTATACTGAAAGGACTTAAAAACATCATACTACAGGGACACGGCCACATCAATGTTTATAACAGCACAATTCACAATATTTAAAATGTGGAACCAACCTAGATGATGCCCTTCAGTAGATGAATGGATAAATAAAATGTGGAATATATATACACAATGGAATATTACTCAGCATTAAAAGAGAATAAATTCATGGCATTTGTAAGTAAATGGATGGAGTTGGAGAAGATAATGCTAAGTGAAGTAAGGCAATTCCCAAAAAACTGTTTTCTCTGATATAAGGATGCTGATTTATAATGGGATGGGTGGGCAGTGTGGGAGGAATAGAAGAACTTTATATAGGGAAAAGGAGAGGTAGGGGAAGGGAGAGTGCATGGGAGTAGGAAAGACAGTGGAATGAGACAGACATAATTATCCTAAATACGTGTGTGAAAACATGAATGGTGTGACTACTTTGTGTATAACCAGAGATGTGAAAACTTGTCTCTATTTGTGCAGTGTTAGCTAAATCTGTTCCCAGCTGGTGTCTCATCTCTTTTTTTTTATTAGTTGTTTAAAACATTACAAAGCTCTTGACATATCATATTTCATACATTAGATTCAAGTTGGTTATGAACTCCCAATTTTACCCCAAATATAGATTGAAGAATCACATTGGTTATACATCCACATTTTTACATAATGCCCTATTAGTAACTGTTGTATTCTGCTACCTTTCCTATCCTCTACTATCCCCCCTCCAAAAGTTTTTTCTCAGCAAGAGAAACAATAAGAGAGGTAAATAGGGAGCCTACATCATGGGAACAAATTTTTACTCCTCACACTTCAGATAGAGCCCTAATATTCAGAGTATACAAAGAACTCAAAAAATTAGACAAAAAGACAACAAATAACCCAATCAACAAATGGGCCAAAGACCTGAACAGACACTTCTCAGAGGAGGACATACAATCAATCAACAAGTACATGAAAAAATGCTCACCATCTCTAGCAGTCAGAGAAATGCAAATAAAACCACCCTAAGATACCATCTCACTCCAGTAAGATTGGCAGCCATTATGAAGTCAAACAACAACAAGTGCTGGTGAGGATGTGGGGAAAAGGGTACTCTTGCACATTGGTGTCGCATCTCAATATGTGTAATATGAATTGAATTGCATTGTTCTGTCATATATAACAAAATTAGAATAAATAAAATTTTTTTAAATTAAAAATTAAAAAAAGATTGAAAACCTATGCAAACTTCAGTTGCATAATGTGGAAGGATCTGAAATTGTTAGGTGAAATAAATGACCCAAGCACAGAAAATCAAATACTGCATAAACTCATTCATATGTGGGATCTTAAAAAACAATTGCTCTCCTAGAAGTCTAGAGGAGAATGGTAGTTACCAAAAGCTGGGGAGAATAGGTGGGATGGTGGAACATTAATCAGTGGGTGCTGGGTGATAGTCAGATAGAAATAAGAAGTTCTGAACAGATATTGCTCAGCAAGGTGATAGTGATAACATAATGTACTATATAATTCAAAGACTAGAAGAAATAATTCTGAATATTTTCATCATAAAAAATTTAAGGAGATAGACATGTTTACACTAATTTAAAAATTACACCAGGTATATATGTATCAAAATATCACATGGTATTCCCATAGATATTTACAATTTCTTATGTTTAATGCATTAGTTAAAAACATTTTAAAAATAAATAAAATGCAATCAAGGAACCACTTTGCAAAATACATTGTCATAGATTTGTCCTTAATAATCTTTAAAATTACCTTTCAAAATTTATTTGCTAAACCTAAGATTAAAAAAGAATGGACTGAAAGATGAGACAACTTTGAAATATATAGTCAAGTAACATCATTTTCATGTTGTTTCAATGTTTAAGAAGAGCAAAACTATTTTGCAAAAGTGTCTATATAAATATATCTGAAACAGAAAGTCAAACAAAGGCATCCTGAGGCCCCACCTGCTGGATGGCCTGAAATCCCGTGATATGCTAAACGGATGGTATTTATTGAGGATGAGCAACTGAATGAAATCCCTGTTAGCACAACACAGCAACTGGAGTTATATACCAGTATTCCCTTAGAGGAGTTCCCATTGACAGCTATAGAAACAAATTAATTCTCACTTTGTTTTTAATTTTAGTTGTCACTAACAATGCCTCCACCTTCTGGCTTAGCATCTCAATATTAACTTACAAGCATGAAACAAGAACTTAATCAGGGAATGTTTGGGGATTAACTTTGCAGCAGCTGAGATACTGAAGGTGAGGTAAGAGCAAACATTTGGTGGTGTGGGACAGTAATTAGGTTCAGACAGAAGGTAGAGAACTGCAGTGTTAGCTAAATCTGTTCCTAGCTGGTGTCTCATCTCAATTAAGAAAAAAAAAATTACACCAAGAGACCATGTAAGGTTAGAGTTCAAGCTGTGACTTTCTTCTCAGCACTGTTGATACCTTCTAAATCCACGAGCAACTTGATTGGCAAAATACTATTCCTTTTCTGTTTTGTTTCCTCTTCTAACGCTTTTCAACTATTTTCTGCCTCTGCTACATAGCCATGTTCAAGGGACATTTGTGACTCAAGTCACTCTTCTAAATACCATGAATGACTAAAGACCCAAGGGGGTTATTGTTCCCATATAAAAAGTTGCAAAGTATAAACCAAAGAAAACAAAACTCAGAGTTGAGAGACAAGATTAGTTCTAACTCTTACTCATGATTTTAAACATGCAAATATCTGGTGCTTGTATTTCCACAGCTGAAAAAAAAAAAAAGGTGCCAATATTCAATCTAGGTGCCTCACAATGTGTTTATAAGAGTCAGCTGAACTGAATAAACCAGAGGAAGAAAAGAGTTGGCTTTACTGGGTGACCCACAGTCCACTCCCATCCTTATCTCCTATTTCCTAAGAAGAGTCTGATATTTTATTCTTCAAAGTGCTCCTGAGTAAACTTTCTCAAGAACATGCTGTGCACGGCCTCTGCAGAGCAGCCTGGGAAATTAAGAATTCTGGCTGGGAGGACTTTGGTTTTCCTTGTTACAACTTCTGCTTGAGAACACCCAGCAATGGAAGTCACCTCTACTGTGAAGTAAAAGTTGCTAACATTTCCTTTCTTACCTTCATTGGACATGTGACCCTCCATGCTTTACTCATTGGTTCTAATTCTTCCAGGGAATTCATATGGATCATATTGATTACATATTCTGCATAGTAGATCTTCCTGTCTTTCTAGAAATCTGATACCCAAGTTTGTATATTTATTCCCATTATTATTTTTTTCTCCAACTGTCTTGCTATTCTTTTCTGCTGGACATCATTTGGGTGGTGGTTGCCTTTACTTATTTAATTTTTGTTGCCTTTATTTATTTTTTTGTTGCCTTTATTTATTTATTTTTATTGTTTAGTTTCAGGAAGACAAGGAGGTAAATGTTCAACCATTATAAAGTAAAGAATTATAATTTCTTTAAATCAGTACTCATCACCTATTGGCATTGTATGTTAGGAAGCCATAGAAAAATACCAAGGGAACAAAATATTGTGAAGTCCTCTATATTTTTTTTTCTCTTCTCATCAGGTTGTTTTACTCAGAAACAAACAAACAAGCAATTTGATACTTATAGAGTACATACTTTATAATCTTGGAGCCTACCAAAATTTTATTTATTGCTACAAATGGTTGAATTCCTGCTAGTGTACCATGGGAACTGAATTTCTGCCCTAATGTCTTGGCACATCTTCAGTATACTTACCTCTGTAGGAGTGGTGTGTCTCCACAATTATGTTATTTGAAAAGAATCTTTGTACTGGAAAATCCCATTGAGATGTAGCATCGCGTTTCCAAGGGTGCCTTGGGACAAGAAAGAATGGGGCAGTAATATACAACCACTTGGTTACATCATTCATACCAGAGAAATTATCATCCAACTGCTGACGGAGAACACTTGTACTTCTCTATTATCAAAGATTTCGCAGAACTGCTCGGCCCCCTCTATTCAGTTCATTCCAGCTGTTCTAACACAAGGAATGAAACAGATTGTTTCATTCTCTAAGCGTACATTAAGAAAGGACAATGCCATCGTTTGGGGGGCTTTTGAAGGGGTTTTTGCTCAATTTGGACTGTGTGTGGAGCAAGCTCACTGCCTTATAACAAAAGCATAAAACTCTGTGGTGACAGGCGAGTCAAAGGCTAAAGGATTTGTTAAAAGGAAGAAGCCCTAAATGTTCAGCATAAACAACAAGAGACATGAGAAAGGAAGCAGGGAAAAGGTAAAGGAGACCGTGAGAAGGAATGTGCGCTGGCCCAGCACTGCGGCCTTTCATAATCCTTTGGGAAAACTCACTCGGAGGGTTCCAAAGACTTTTTCCTGAATTTGTCTTGCATCAAAGAACCACAGGCTTCTTCTTGCTTGAGTTTGTGTTTGCTGCCCTTTAAGTGTATATGGATTTGGGATTTTTTTTTTTTAATGCAAACATTAAAACTGTTTTACACTGATAGCTGGATCTTTCTTGTCATGTTATCTTTGAAGCATCACCCCTGCTTGTCCTTGGGAAGTTTACATTTCATTCCTTCCTACAGAATCCCTTCCACGACCTACTTTGCACACACACCACAAATGTCCACCAACCTTTTTTATTTCCTCTTCCTTTCATGTTCTATTCCTGTTTCTAAATCTCACATACCAGGATATGTACTACTAAGTACTCCCCTTTTTCTATGTCACTAGCAGACTTTGTAAATTAATCGCGGAGTCACTATAGTATATGAGTTATTTTCATTGTGTGTTCCAGGAGGTTATGAACAAAAGGAAAAATTGATAAGTGAGATGGAATGTATTTTAATATTCTGGATCCAGAATGTGAAAATGTAGGAATCTGGATGGTTCCCAAAAAGCTTCTCTGATATGGATTTGGGGAAGAACATTTCTTTATATTTGGTCCAATGATGGTTGTAAAATTGATAGTCAACTCAATATTATTTGAGAAGGCAGTATTTTATCTTTGTTTTAGCTAATCTTTTACTCCTCAAATACATACGGTTTTAGTATCTGAGGATTCTCATTGATTTTCAGAAGTAACATTTTTCAGAAGAATAAAAACAAATACTATATACTCTATTATAAACTACAGAAAAGAATGTAGTCGTTCATTTGCTCCTTCTTGTCCCTATTAACATTCTGTCCTCAATACCGGCTCTAATGTCAGCTCAAGGTTTTGAGAGTTCAGACATTGTTAGAAACTGCTACTTTTCTCTAAAAGGTTTTCTTTTTGATGGCCTGTCACCATTGGGTCAAATTTCATCTTACTTTTTCCTCCCACGAGGTGAGTGGGAACTGGGGTCTTCGTCTTCTAATTTAATATAGTCAAAACTAATGTTAGATACTCAGATACAGATTTATTATTAATAGGCTAGAAAGGACATTTTCTAGCATTTCTAGCACAATTTTCCTTCTGAAATTATTAATAAAGTAATATTTATCTAGCATGTTCTGTCTTCTACATCTACTCCTTGAAACCATACAGTGAAGTTAGGTGGTAGAATTCAAGGATTTAATGATTCTTAGCACGTCATTATTTTCACAACAAATATATATAAATATTTGTCAAATTAAGGTGATCCTACAGAAGGTATGTGTGGGAGGACATGAAGTAGGAGGATTTGAATGTCTCAATTCTGCCCATAAACTAGGATAAGTAACAGGCAATAAACTGAGGTAATTAATTATCCAAAGAAGTAGTTCACTGTAAAAATGAATACATGGTTGTGTCAATCACCTTTCTCTAACTATAACAAAGTACCTAAGATAAGTAACTTATAAAGAGAAAAGGTTCATTTTGGCTCACAGTTTTGAAGTTTCTAGTCCAAAATAGGGTGAAACCATGGCTTTGGGCTTTGGATGGGTGTGTCAGATGGCATGGTAGGGAGTATACAGCAAAGAAAATTGTTCACCCCATGACCAGAAAGCAAAGAAAAAAAAAATGAGGAGTCCAGTGTTGCACAGTTCCCTTTCAGGTACTAACGACCAAAGGACCTTCTATTAGATCCCACTTCTAAGGGTCCCCAGCACCTCCCAGTAGTGCCACATTTTTAACACATGGGCTTTTGACGGACGCATACCCAAACAAGAGAACAGGAAAGAGTCTTGATTAGTTCACATGTGTTTGTGTTTCATAAATAGAAATGTAGTATTATGGTGCTATAATCTCTTTCTCGTAGGGTAATTCCCCAGTGTAAAGAACCAAAGAACAGTCTAGCCTGCCCTGCTCTTTTCTTTCTAGATTAAACTGACTTAATGTTTCCCCTATTGTATTCTCACCAACAAAACTACCTCCTCAATTTTTCTGGCCTAGGCTGCACACATGCACAAATGAAAACACCATTGAACAAAAAGAAAAAAATTAATCCCAAAACCTTTTGAAAGTTTCTTCAAAAGATTATGAGTCATTCCTGCCTCCATTTTTCTGGCATGCCCTGAATTCTAGCTCATGGACATGCTGTTTTAAGCTCTACCTTCAAATCTGCTGTGGGCTCCTTAGCCCCTTCCCCTTGCCTGCCACCTTCCCGAAGCACCCATAAACACATTGCTAATTTTGTTTTGTTTCGTTTTGTTTAAAGAACTGGGGTTTGTGAGTCATAGGGAAAGGGATATTGTGTGCAGCCTAATAAGTTTAAATTGCTGCTTGAACATTCCTCTCCTTACATGCCATGGAGAACACTGGAAGCTTTGCTGGATCCTGAAAAGAACTAGTGAGAAGGCTTCAGGATGGACTTTGTGGGGAGAGGGGAAGAATGTGTCTCCTGCTTTGAGTTGATAGTGTGTACGTCAGCCATTCGAAAAACAGCAATCGTTAATGTCTACCTGAACCACTTAGGCTCTGGGACCCATGGACTGGATCTGTGTCTCTTTTCTCAGCATGATCTCTAAAGCTTTTCACTTTAGTCTCAACCTGTGTTTTCCAAAATGGGTGAGCAAGGCAGAACAAAGCATTCATACATAAAGAAAATACAAATTCCATTTGCTTGCCTTAGTCCTGTAAGTTCTATTGTCCAAGATTTATTAACTGTACATTTATAAGAGTAATAAAAAATAAACACAAAAAGAAACATACACTGTAAACGTGTGACCCCAGTTATCTGATGGCTTCAAAATCCCAATTATTTCTTGGGGAGTCTCAGTAACCAAATAGCCTTCTGATAGCATGCAACTGAAAAAAAAAATGTGTTCAGGAGAATGACAGCTTCTCCTCCACCTTAATGAGTTCTTCCTCCACAAGGATGCTACTGGCCTGGAGGTTACTGGGGTTTGGTTTTGGTTTTCAACTTACTCTACTTTGCAGGTTGTACAGAAAGATCTCTCATTTTTGTACTCTCTCCCTTTCAAATTCTGCCATCCTTCTTCCAACTCATCTTTTCTCAAGGAGTTGAGCAAACAAAAATTATTTTTTTTTCCTTTTGAAAAAAATCTTGTGACTGAATATTTTCTCCATTTCTTCTTTTCTGAGTTCCTTCTCTCTCTCTTTCTCTTTTGTCTTTGACCTCTTACTGCCAATCTCAGTCTCTTGTCTCTCTTTTCTCTGTCGCTCTCTCTCTGTTTGGGAAATTAAATATTATTTATTTGTTTGTTTGCTTGCTTTGTTTTGCTTTGTGTCTTCTTATTCCTTAATGCTAACAGTGAAGACAAATGCAGCCCTTCAAGACCTAGCTCTTGAGGGTTTGAGATATGACTCAGATATTACAAAACAGAGCAATCCTTGGAACCTGAACTCAATGATTTGTCATTTCTAACCCACATGAGCTAGATTTTAAGCTGAATGTTTGTGTGAATCGCCAATGCCCTTTTCCTTTCCCTACTTCTCTTAAACACTGTAGAAGGTCAGAAACAGATCTGCCTTTTTTTTTTCTTTCTCTTCTTTGTGTCTTATCATATAGACATTTGATGTATATTTGTGAATTTGGCAGGACATACTTAAAGAGAGTGCTTTATACTCTAACCTTTGTATAAAGAGTGAGCCAGAATGACCTGGTGAATTTGTTAAAATGGATTGCAGGATGTCACCCTCAGAGTTTCTGACTCAGTAAGTCTGGGGAGCCACTGACAATCTGCATTTCTATCAGGTACCAAGGTGATGTTGCTACTGCCTATTAGAAACTCACACTTTAAGAATCATTGGCCAAAATGGTATGCTACATATTCTCTGAGTACATATGAAAGAAGGCAAAAACTTGAAATAGACAAGATTTATTTTAAACTGTCTATTTTCCTCATGATAATATGGCCACATTATGCCTCAAAGAACTAAAAGCAGGCAATATTAAAATTAAAATATACAGTTAACAAATTTGAGATTATTCATGCTATCAGTATATGACAAATATAGATAATTGGAAATGTGACTCCATATTCTTGATATCATTGCCACTATACACATACATACATACACATATGTGTACTATATAATTTTACGATTATTTTCAAAGAGATAACCTTATTCTTTTGGGCAACAACCTTTCAATATGAGTAATCACCATTTTATATAAGTGGAAAAAAATTCTCAGAAAGATTAAAAGACTAGTGAAATTCCCATTAGCACCCAGAGCTGTTCAAATCCTCTTCTCTGTCTTCTGTGTCAACAACTCTTTTGTGTCTAGAGCTTCAGTTCATGGAGTCTCACAGGCTGCCTGAGGTACAAAGCAGCATGTCTGTGAGCCAACGTGGGGAGCTTCTGTTGGGGCTTGAGTGACTGGGCTCTGGACTCCTGTTTCCACTAATAGGCTGGGCAATCCTTTGGCAGGAGTGTTGACCTCTCTATGCTTCCGATATATCGTACATGATGAGAATAATGAGATCT